ATAATACCTGGCACATTGAGGGTACACAGTAAATATGTGTTGAATGGAAGAACCACTGTCTGGTCTTTTGTGATAATCATTTCCTTGCTTTTCTTTGTACTGGCCCCCAGCCCCACATACCCATTCCAAATAATACAATTTAGTCTGGCCCATTTAACTCTACACTGTATTTGTTTGAATCATACTGTATTTATTCTCTTATGTCCCACTTTCTTTTGCTCAACATTGTGTTTTTTGAGATTCATCCACATTGTTGCATATAACTGCAGTTCCTTCATTTTCCCCTGAGGTCAAGTTTGCCGATGTATGAATATACCACAACCCATCTGTCTATTGAGCTGTTGAAGGACATCTGGGAGCTCCTTCCAGTTTTTGGTCACATCAAACAGTTCTGTTAGGGCAAACTCGAATGCATCTCCTGTTACATGTGTGTATGAGGTTATCTGGGGTATATAACTAGGAGTGCAACCTCAGGGCTCAGTGTACATTACTCTTCAGTTTTACTAGATAATCCCAAATGGTTTCCAAAGTGGTTGCATCAGTCTACCCTCCCATCTGTAGTAAGGTCACCTCTTTTGGCCTCAGTTTCCCCTGTGCCCTTTGTAAAATAAGAGGATTGGAGGGTTAGATTTCTGAGGTTTCTTTTCTTTTTTTTTTTTCTTTTTGAGACAGAGTCTCACTCTGCTGCCTGGGCTAGAGTGCCGTAGCATCAGCCTAGCTCACAGCAACCTCAAACTCCTGGGCTTAAGCGATCCTTCTGCCTCACCCTCTGGAGTAGCTGGGACTACAGGCATGTAGCTGGGACTACCACCATGCCCGGCTAATTTTTCATATATATGTATTAATTGGCCAATTAATTTCTTTTTATTTTTAGTAGAGACAGGGTCTTGCTCTTGCTCAGGCTGGTTTCCAACTCCTGACCTTGAGCAATCCACCCGCCTCAGCCTCTCAGAGTGCTAGGGTTACAGGCGCGAGCCACTGTGCCCCGCCAATTTCTGAGATTTCTTTTGGTTCTGATGTTCTATGAATATGTGATCAAGAAGCCCTGAAGCAGCAGCACTTGGAGTTGAGCCACCTTTAGGGAGCACCTAACCTACAAGGGAGAGAGGAGATAACCTTGCTTGGGATGAGGACTCCCAACATTAGGGTGAGGCACTGTCCTAAACTCTCAAGACTGGTATTGGGTAGAGACTCAGGCCTTGACAGAGGTTGGCAACTCTTATTTGTACACCATGATGTCTGCTCCTTCCCAAGCTTGAGAGAATTCCCAAACACAAAACATGGCAAAGAGAGACAAGAGGCAAAAATAATAAATTCATTCAGAGACGAGGTCAAACGTGTCATATGGAAAAGTCAGGGGTAAGTGATCTGTGTATGTGGGGAGGGCTGCACAGATTCTTCCAGGAAAAGGAGGGAATTTTACAGAGACATACCTGGTGGAGAGGAGGCAGTGGCAGTTTTAGAGAGAGGGGGAGAACAGAGTGGGGGATGGTGACTCTGGGAAGGGGCCAGTCTGGAGCCAGGAGGGCTGCTTAGACAATCTTTATTCCTTGAGCACAGATGCTGCTATCCAGAGGGATAGCTGCTGCCCAGGGAGCTGATCTGGCCATCCCTCCAGCTTCCCTGGAGGCTGGCAGCCTCTGTCACATTAGAAGGAGGGGCTCTGCCTGCACCTCCCTGGGGAGCCTCCCCTGGACACATGGGCCCTTGCCTCCAATGGGAGGCTGGTCAGTACTGGGCAAAAGCGCTAGGTGCAGGGGGTGAAGACCCCCTGGTTCTCCACAGGATGGATCGTGATGAGGCTCTGCTGGAAGCACCCATCTTGTGATGTTGCAAGGAGAGAAGTGGATTCAGAACTGGACACTCAGGTAGATCCTCCTCCTGGCTGTATCTCCTCCCTCCTCTCCCTACCATTCCCCTACAATTGCTTTCTTTCATTCACGTATTCATTCTAGCATTTATTCAGTCATGCATACTGTGAGTGCTTAATATGTGCCAAATCCCCATGCTAGGCATTGGGGATGATAAAATGAACAAAGCACACTCCTGGGTCTTTGGTTGCTTGCAGTCAAATAAGGGAGACCCACTGGATGGAATCTTCTTACCTTCCTCACCTGCAGCAGCTGGCGAGGGCCAGGGCCAGGGAGTTGGGGTCAGAGCATCAATAAGATGGCTGGTTGATCATCTCCAAATGATGATAACACTTAGCTCAAGCAGCTGCTGTGAGGAGGATGCCTTACATATAATAGAAACTCAATACATATTAGCTAAAATGGATTCAAATCTAGGAGGGAGTCATTAGCCAGTCTCAGGTTTCTGGAACTGAGGTAGAGTGCCCACAGCCTGGGCATGGAGGTGGTACCTATCACCCTCCATATCCAGCGACATGGACCTGTCTTCTAGCCCAGATTAGAAGAGGAGGGAAGTGACTCAAATGGGAACATCAAAAGGGGTTAGAGCTTTTAAAGCAGAACAGAAAGATGAGAAAATGGGGCCCAGATTGATTTATTCAGGGCAGATGAATCTCTGTAGGGGCAGGATGGGGAAAGTCTTCCCTGGGGAGGCTGGGGGTTGGGCAGAGGCCTGGACTAGGACCACAGAGAGAACTGGAAAACCTCAGTGTTGTCTCATGGACCTCTGGCCAGCACCTCTCCTCCCTCACACCCTCAACAGTTATTTTCTTAACTGTCCTTGCCTAGGAATAGTAAAACTTGATCCCAGCAACACCTAGATGGAGGACTTAATTGTTCAGCAAGTATTTACTGAGCACTTACTATGTACTGGTCTCTAAACTGCTGGAAATACAGCAGTGAAGAAAACACACACACAAAATCCTTATTTTCATGTATACATGCAAATATAGTGGAAGGATAAAATGATAGAAATGGAATTGCTGGAGCAAGGGGCAACTGCATTTAAAATTTTTATTGATATTGTCAAATTGACATAAAAAGTGTTTGTTGCTGGGGCGCGATGGCTCATATCTGTAATCCTAGCATTTTGGGAAATTGAGGTGGGAGGATCTCTTGAGGCCAGGAGTTTGAGACCAGCCTGAGCAACATAGTGAGACCCCGTCTGTACAAAATATTTAAAAATTAGCTTGGTGTGGTGGTGCATGCCTATAGTCTTAGCTATGCTGGAGGCTGGGGTGGAAGTATTGCCTAAGCCCAGGAGTTTGAGGCTGCAGTGATCGTGCCACTGCACTCCAGCCTGGGCAACAGAATGAGACCCTGTCTCTGAAAAACAAACAGGCCAGGTGTGGGTGGCTCATGCCTGTAATCCTAGCACTGTGGGAGGCTGAAGTGGGAGGATCACTTGAGTTAAGGAGTTCGAGACCAGCCTGAGCAAGAGTGAGACTCCATCTCCACAAAAAATATAAAAATTAGCTGGGTGTGGTGACGGGCACCTGTAGTCTCAGCCACTCCAGAGATTGAGATAATTGCAGGAGGATAATTGCTGTGGCCAGGTGATTCCTCCTCACTATGTTCTGCCTAGCCCATGAAGAACCTGAGTTGCTATTCCCCAAGCCCAGAAATGAAGTACCTTCATAGGAGATATTTTCTTTACCTAGAGAGAAGGCACTCTTCACTGATATTTGTGCTATTTGAGGAGGCTCTTGGGAGAGATGGAGCTCAACTCATGGAGGGATAGAAGATTCTCTATGGCCTCTCCTTTATTTTAGGACCAAGAGGAGAGAAGAGGTGGGGAGCTGCTATTTTGAAAAAAATGAATGTATGGTAAGGGACCAGAAAGTGACATCATCTGGGAACACTTGGTTCAGGCGTGGATAGCAAGTTCAACTACCAACTCCTGGCAACAGCACTGAGGGGAGAGGGGCTTGGGGAAGTTTTTGTCCACAAGTGTCGCAACATTGTTGCAGTGTGAGTATGACCCTAAGTGCTTGGCAGAGGCATAGGCTTGCTGATTCACTGCATCCTGGGCTGACCTCTTCACCTGCGCTGGTCAGTGGATGATTCTGGCCTCCTTTTTGGAGCTAGACAGCTGTTAGATTCAGGGAGCAGCTTCAGAGAGACCTACAGGATTGGGGTGCAGGTACGGAGGCTCCGGAATGTCAGAGCAGTAAATATATGTCCTGATTTCCAGGACTGTCTGATTTCACATATTCTGCCCCACAAGTTCGCCAGCACTTGTCAGACTGGGTGTCCCAGTTTTTGGTTCGGAAAATACGGTCTGTCTCACAGGTAATGGAGAAGGGGAGGAGGCAGTTGGTTCATTCTAGTGTCTAAGACGTTGGTTACATGGGAGCAAGAGACTAGCAGAAATGGCCCCAGCCCAGTGTGCTAGAAGCTCCCATTGAATTCTCAGCTCCGCCCCTTCCGCGCTGAGGCGAGCAGGTGAGTGGGACGGAGTTCGCTGTGACTGGCGCCCTGCTAGCCGCTTTGCTCATGACGTCCCCCGCCCTATCCCATATGGGGAAGTAGGCTGCGGTAACCTGGACTCTCAGCCTCGCCCAGCCAGCTCAATGGGGAGGCTGTAGGCAGGGGCGAGGCGCCATGTGCGTAAGGGAAAGCAGTCTGCCACGGCTGCTTAACAAGAGGGTCTAAGCAACCAGGTTTGGAGTAGCAGATTACAAGCGGCCTGGATGGGGACGTCAGTTTCTCCCAAGGGACGGAGGAAAGGGACTCCAGGTCCCAAAGCTGCGCTACAGCCAGTTGAGCTAACAACCCCCTCTCCCTCCCGAAGCTCCCCTACCAGAGTGGCAGTCGGCCCAGCCCCGAAAGCGATCAGGCCACGGCCCCCAGCACCGTACGCTCTCCTCCCAGCGTAGCCCGGCCCATCTCCCCACCCGAGGCCCCGCCCCGGCCCCGCCAGCCCCCTAGAGGCGGCTCCCGAAGGCCGTCTCCGGCGGACGGGCTGGTGGGACTACAAGTCCCAGAAGCCCCGAGCCAGCCCCCGGGGGCGGGGTCACGCCGGCAGCGAATTGGGAGGAGCTCTGGTGCTCAGGCTAGGGAACGCGTGTGACCAATGGCGGGGCCGCTCCCGCCGTGAGCCGATGGGGGCGGGGAGAAGGCCGCCTGGGCCGGAACAAAAGCCGGATCCCGGGCGGCTGCCGGCGGCTGGAGCGCTCCGGGTAGTGGGGTGAGTTGGACCTGCGGAGGGAGCGGTGCACACAGACTTTCGCAAGGAGGTGAGTGCGGTGACTGTTTTTACAGGCGGGACCCCAGCTCACCCTGAGAGCTTCCTGCCTCCCTCCCCCAACCCGGAACCGCCGGCGCTGGCTGGGTACTCGCGCACCCTCCCTGCACCTGCTTGGAAGTTTTGGGGGGTCTCAGCTTTAGGTTAGCTTTCGCCCGGGACCCCGGCCGGTGGCCGCGTGTTGAGCCCCCCCCCATCCTCTCACATTCCAGTTCTTGGGAGTTTGCACAGGGCTTGCCACCCTCCTTCTCTCCGCCAAATTGCATTTGCCCCGTCCTGGCGCCCGTCTCCCCCACCCGGGGACAGCTTTCGAGCCTCCTTGGGCTTTTTCGGGCCCCCTCACCGCATGCCGGGGCGGGAAGTAGAGAAAGCAGTGGCAACTGGCCCCACTCCGACCTCTCACAAGCTGGGCTCAGGCCCTTTCTCTTAGTTCTGTGGCGAATGCATTGAGCTGGACGCCGAAGTGGAGGGAGCGAGCTGGGCGCGCCACTGGGGCGGGCCACGCGGGGCCAGGCTGCCCGAGGCCTTGCCTTGCCGCGCGAGGACTTGGCCTGGAGCGGTGGCGCAGGGAAGACCCTCCCCACTCTTGGAGGTGCTGTCGGGCCCAGCCCCTAAGCGACAGATGGCCAGGGTGCCCATCTCCCTCCCCCACCCACCCCTGAGCTGACGCGGAGCCTGACCAAGGCAAGATTCTCAGGGGGCTGGAGGATGCCGCCACCGCCCTCCTGTCGAGCCTGGCACGGGGCCAGGCCCAGCGCCTTCTGCCCTCTCCAACCTTGGCAGATACCATGCAGTACTGAAGAGTTATGCCATTAGGGGTCTGCTAGCCTGCTCTTCCCCTCTACCGTTTAACTTTGCTGGCTCAGCTCTTTGGATTTCTGAAATGTTGAGTGGAGAACAGCTGGTAGACCCTGGCTGCCTAGAGGGATAATTTTCACCTCTTCAAAAACTCTAAACAGCTTGAGGGGCGGTAATGGCAAGAACCCTCAGACTCCGGGCAGCTGGTTCTCCATCCCCATCCTGACACTATTCTAATTGTAGTAGGTGGCACTCGCAGAATTCTCCCTCTCTGATTTAAGCCAGGGATTGTCCTCTCAAATCCCAGTCCTGCAGATACTAATCTTAAAATGAGTGCTTTTGTCCTTCCCATAGAGAGACCCTAAGTAGCATCCTCAGAGATTCCTTTCCGCTGGCTGTGTTCCGGGGTACATCCTGGGGAACAGTCTCCTTTCAGTCAGCCTTCCTTGTGGGCTGCTGTTTCTCTCAGTGGCTGAACTCAATCCTGGTCACTCACTCAGTCTGCAGAAAAGACCCCATTCAGCTCTTAAGGTCCCTCCCTTAGAGAGTGTGTGTGTTTTTAGGTTCCTTGATGTGATTCCTCCAAACGGCTTATAAATTTACCCGTTACCAGGTAACAGTTCCTGGAGTCCAAGGTCTCCCCAACTGTATATCACCAGTTCGACAGCACATTGAGCTACTGGCGAGGCAGCCTAAGACTTTGGGGGAGGTTCCCCAAGCCAAGATTGGTATATACTTTATTTACCTTTTAATTATTTATTTATCTATTTAGAGGCAGGGTCTCACTGTTGGTCGGGCTAGAGTGCAGTGCAGATTGGTGTATACCTTAAGTCCCATTGTCACTAGAGCAAATGTTTCCATCTGTGGGCCATCAGATTGTAGTCACAGGTGATCACCCCGAAATGATAGGCACAATTGGATATGTGCACATTTTTCTGGGCTTTTCTTCAGAGTCTCAAGAGTCTGAGACCTCAAAAAGATTAAGAGAGTCTCTTTAGGAGGCTTCAAGACTGATCAGTTAAAGTTGTGCGATTTATCTCCACTGAGTCCACTCTCTGTTTGTGAGCCAGTTGCCGTCTTATCCTGCATTGGTGAATATGCAGGGACCAGACTCTCTGCCTTTTTATTCTATTGTATAAATTATTTGTCTCAACCTCCCCTAAGCCAAAGTGCTTGAGTGGCAAATCTCTTGGTTTGGTAAATTGGGAAATCTTGTTCTCTATCCTGTATCATCCCCCTTCCAAAGTCCCTATGGAGATGGGCTCTTGTATCTGAGGCTTAAGAAAATTGTGATTTTCTTTGGCTGCAGAAGGTCATTTTTCTCTCCCTTGTCCTTTCTGAAGTTTGGTCTTGTGTCTGTTTTGGGAGGTGCCAGGTTCAGGAGATTGTTGTACTGGGAGTAAGTATCAGACTTCTTTCGTCTAGAGAGACTTAGCCAAGGGGCTTCCTTTTTCCTGGAATTTCTGATCACTCTTGCTGAGGCTGTCTGAACTGCTGGAGGTGGTCAGCTGCTGCCCCCTCCTCTCTCTGCTCAATCTGCCCTGGGTTACACTATGTTTGGGAGGGGGAGGGGGGTGTGCCCATTCTATTTCAGGACCAGTTTTTCTGGTCTGAGTCTAGAAGGTTGGGAAATGGAGTGGGAGTGGGTGGGGGGTGGAGGACTGTAGGGCATTGGGGCTGGTCGAGGTGTCTCCTTTGGAAATTCATACAGAGAAGGAGTCACAAGTCATCTCAGGGGAAGGCCAGAAAAGGGAACATCTCTTCTGAGCCCTTCCGAGCTACCCAACTTTGGGCCAGACACCAGGCTGAATACACCCATTGCACCCAGCTGGAGACTAGTTGGGAGGCTGAAGGAGCCAGCCAAGCCCAGGATTAGAACCTGAAGTCCCATCAGCCTGGCCAGTTGGGAAGGGGGTGCAAAGTGGCCCCTGGAGCTTTGGCTTTTCCTGAGCTGTGAGTGGAGGCCACCTTTCCTGTACCTGTAAAACCAGCCAGCTCCTAACTTTACCTTCCTGTATTTACATTTAACTTTATTTCCTCCCCCAGCTAATTCAGCAGCTTTGCTTCTGGGCATTTGTGGGAGAGACAGGAGTGACCTTTCCTGATCTGGCCAAGCTCTTAGCCTGAATGACTTGGTTTCTTTTCCTATCTCCCCCTCCCTTTTTCCTCTCCCCAGCTGACTCCTGACACCTTTCCATCATGGGGAAAATGGATGTGTCAGGACAAGGTGTTAAGGAAGGAAGGGTGAAGAAATTCTCAACACAGACTCTTTGAAGTGAAAGGGACATGTGGACCTGGTTCTTGGAGAAATGGTCTTTTCTCAGCCTGGTGTGGATTTTCCTGGGGACCCAGCTTCAAGTCCTGGGTCTCAACTCTGCATATTATCAGTCAGGTTTCTTGGGCAAGTTATCTTTTGTTTTCTTTTGAGACAGAATCTAGCTCTATAACCTGGGCTGGAGTGCAATGTTGTCATTGTAGCTTACTGCAACCTCAAACTCCTGGGTTCAAGTGAGCCTCCTGCCTCAGCCTCCCGAGTAGCTGGGACTACAGGTGTGCACCACCACATCCAGCAAATGTTCCTTCTTTTTTTTTTTTTAAAGTAGATATAGGGTGTTGCTCTAGCTCAGGCTGGTCTTGAACTCCTGACCTCAAGTGATCCTCCAGCCTTGGCCTCCCAGAGTGCTAGGATTATAGGCGTGAGCCACCGTGCCCTGCCTGGGCAAATTATCTTAGTCCTCTGAGCTTTTATTCCTCATCTGAGAGATGGGGTTATGAATCTCAGTGAACCTCACAGGGCTCATATGCAATAAGTTTCTTTGTACATGTGACCCAGGGTGGTTTCTGCCTCCTGCTCTGGCTCAGTTAGAAGTGACCAGTACAGGGTGGTCCCCAGAGAGGGGTGTGTTTTGCTTTGTGGATTTTCTCTAAATTAGCAGCTGGATGACTCAGTGGGATGGGTGGGATGTACTAAAGGTCACAGTTTCCCCTCCCACATCGTCCTCCCCACCTAACGAGGGTCTGGGGGCATGATTCCCTCTTGAGGCTAAGTAAACTTGCTGGCCTGGCCTGGTGGGGTGTGTGGGGTGGGCGAGTCTGGGCGTGGGGGAGATGAAAGCTATAGGGAGAATAAGGCCAGCCTTTTGCAGTTTCCTTTGTGCTCCACACAGATCAGAGAACCTATGGGTGCATTTCAGTGTCTGTGTGCTGGTGTTGGTCTCCTGACAAGCTGCCTTTTGCTCCAGGATGAATGTGGTCAGGAGTAAGCTAGTTTGCCTGGAGGGAGTAGGGGCAGGGTTGCAGCAAGAGTCCCAGGGCAAGTGCCACCTTTGTTTTCCTCCGCCATTCTCCCTTCCATCCCTCCCCATCAAGCTCTGGGGCAGCCCTTTTTCTCCCTCTTGAGAAAAGCTGAGGTCTGGTTTTATTGTCTGGGGGCAGCTGGGAGTGGGTCTGCCCTGCAGGGCAAGATAGCGCCTCCACAGCCCTGCTCCCTCCTGACCACCTCTTCTCTCCCCGACAGGTAGAGCAGGTCCCTCTGCAGCCATGTCTGCCAAGGCAATTTCAGAGCAGACGGGCAAAGAACTCCTTTACAAGTACATCTGCACCACCTCAGCCATCCAGAATCGGTTCAAGTATGCTCGGGTCACCCCTGACACAGACTGGGCCCGCCTGCTGCAGGACCACCCGTGGCTGCTCAGCCAGGTGAGTCCTGCCCCCACCCTGGGCTCTTTTTTCAGGCCCAGGGTCTGGAGAAAGCTATTGGCCATACTGGGGTGCTGGGGTGGGTCACAAGGTCACATCAGTGGGGAATGGGCTGAGCAGGGTTTTCTGTTCCCTGTAGGCCCTGCATGTTGGGGTACTCTGGCATGGGCTTGGAACTGGACAAACTGGTATTCAAATCACAGCTCTCTGTTTATTAACCATGTGGCCCGAGGCCAGCCATTTCACCTCTTTGAGTTTAGATTCCCCATCTGTCACATGGGGATAACACTCTGGAAAGCATTTAGTGGCTGCCTGGCACTGGGTAGATGCTCAATAAAAAGCAGGTGTGTGTCCTGCCCTCCCCTAAGCGGAGCGTATCAGGGCAATTAGGAAGTGTCGACCTTTCACTCTGTGAAGAATGGCCCTGACCCTGGGCAACCAGGTTGGAGTGGAGGCTTCTGTCTGGGATCCCTGCAGGGCCGTTGTTAGAAAGCTTTCCGACTTCTTTGGTAAGGCTTACTTTGATTAAAAGGATTTGTTCTATAAAATTTGGATTCAGTCAAAAAGCTGCACTCAAGGTTCCAGAAGGCCATATGTGGCCCCAAGGTGACAGGTGGTGACAGGTTCCCCATGCCTACAAGGTAGTGAGTTACCTTGATTGTTCATAGGCAGTTACCAATGCAACTCCTTGTTCTACACTTTCCCACCTTCTCACTACTCACTTGACGAGTATTAAAAAAAAATACTTCTTTGGCAGGGTCTAGAGAGCAAGACGAGGACCAGTGGTGGGGTTCCTGCCACTGTGAGGCAGCCCAGCCACAGAGGGAGGCAGGGAATTGCCCGGCACTAGAGATGTGTGAGCAGTGGCTAGGGGCTGCTTTGCTGGGCCTGTTGTCGACAGGGTTCTAGCACAGTGATGGGGTTGACCAGAACTCTGAGGTTCTTTGACATTCCAAGGCTCTGTCTCTCTGTTTTCCCTTTGGGGACACAGGGTCTGGTCCATATTCTTAGGAGTTCTCTGTTAAATGAAGAAGCTAATACATCACATCCCAAATAAGTAGAGAATCACTTATTCACTCAGTGTGTATTTGCTGAGTACCTGCTCTTCATCTCCTCCATGCCAGGCCCCATCCTAGGCATGGGTGGCTCTAGATTCTTGGTTGCCAAAAACAAGATGTAGGCTGGGGTGGGTGAGGGAAGCTTCCTAGAGTTGACCCTGAAGGGTGGGTGGGGTTGGCTTTGGAGCCTGGTGAATTGGAAGTCATCCTGGCTGCCCTCTGCTTTGGGTCCCCACATTGTCACCTCTTGTTCTTTTTTTCTCCTTTCTAGCTCTAAATACAAACCCCCTCTCATTCCAGAGCTTGGTAGTCAAGCCAGACCAGCTGATCAAGAGGCGTGGAAAGCTTGGCCTAGTCGGAGTCAACCTCACTCTAGACGGAGTCAAGTCCTGGCTGAAGCCACGGCTGGGACAGGAGACCACAGTGAGTCTGGGTGTAGGATTGGGCTGTGCGTGCCGTGGTAACTGAAGCAGATGTGGTCACCTCCAGACCAGCAGCTCTGGATCATGCCCTCAGGCAGTCACACTATAGTCTAGGGAAGGTGACAGTCCTGTGGAGGTGACACCACTACCCTTTCCCCTCCCCCCAGCCAAGTGGCCTTAGGCACGAAGTCCAGTCTCAGTCCTAGGGAATCCAAACTCCTTTTGTTACAGGTTTGGGCAAAATGCTGCAAAAGTAACCCTAGTGCAGTTCAAGAGCCAGGTGGAAATGGTCTGATTATGGAGATGGGATTCAGACCCATTCTGGGAACACCTTTTTTTCTAGTTTCCAAAGCTTATGGTAGCTTGTGATGATACATATACCTAAGAGGGAGGATTAAAAAAAGATGAAAAAAGGGATATACAATCATATAGGTGGAAAGACATAGGGGCAAGAACCTAATATGAGATTGTTAATAAAATTCAACTTTTTTTTTTTTTTTGAGACAGTCTCGCTCTTTTCCCCTGGGTAGAGTGCAGTGGCGTCATCGTAGCTAACTGCAGTCTTAAACTCCTGAGCTCAAGTGTTCTTTTTGTCTCATCCTCCTAAGTAGCTGGAACTACAAGCATGAGCCATCATGGTTGGCCAATTTTTCTATTTTTAATAGAGACAGGGTCTTGCTCTTGCTCAGGTTGGCCTCAGACTCCTGAGCTCAAGCGATCATCCTGCCTTGGCCTCCCAGAGTGCTAGGATTATAGGTATGAGCCACTGCTCCTGGCCTAAATTCAATTCTTGACTTTTCCTGGCTTAGTGATTAATCTCAACTGTGTAAATGAGAGGGCTCAAGTGAAATATGGTTTAGGAAGGCTAGAAGATGCCCAGAAATGAAATTGTGTTTCTTCTCCTCATTTCCCAGGGGAGCTGGAGGACTGAGGGAGGGAGTGGGGTTGAGGCTTGGCTCAGTCTGGGAAGGATGCACTGTCTACACCTGGCATCATGTGCTTGGTTCTGAAGGGCCTGGTGCTCATCTGGGGTGAACCTGGACCAAGGACGAGCCATTACGTTCCTTGGCTGCCTCGGAAGTAGGAATAAAGGTGGTGATGGAGATGTCTTCCTCCATTGTTGGGCTTCCTCAAAGCAGCTCTTAATGTTAATTTCCGATTTCTGGCCCTCTGGGTTAAAGAGGGATCCTTGCAGTTGCACATGGTTCCAGGGTGGAGGGACCTGACCTTTGAGTTCCAGGCCTTTGCAGAGAGGATGGTAGGGTTGGCGCTGAGCATGGGAGCACGTCATGCTCTCTGCTCCTCAGCTGGTTGTTGGGAGGGGGATGTCAGCGACGTCTGAGCTGGCAGCAGCGTGGGGCCAGCAGGAGCGGCTCATTACCTCAGATGGATTGCTGTCTGGTCCCTGACTCAGCAGTGACGCACAGGGCGGGTGGGGGGTTCGGGACGTACCGGGATGAGGGCTGTCTGGCCTCTGCCGCCAGGGACTCACTCAAACTGATTAGCTCTGCAGGCCTGTTGTCCTCAGCCGAGAGAATCTGGAAAAATTTCCCCATCAAGCTCTGGCTCTCCCCTCCTCCCCCTCCATTCCCCAGGCCTGGACCCATGTCCTCAGGCTGGGTCTCTGTGCCTACCTGAGGGTAGACAAAGCAGAATCGTCCCCTCCCCCCTCACCCGAGCTCCCATCTCACTGCCCCAGCTCTGGGATAGCCTTGATTTGAGCTCTTTCATTTATGCAGCTCATATATCACCCTCTAGACGAGGCCAAAAAGGAACATGCAAGGTCAGTGCATGTCGAAGTATGGCTGGCACAAGGGCAAGGGGGCAAGAGAGGGTATCTCATGAGGACTTCTTGAACGTAGGGATCTGTGACCTCATTTTTTGTGGAAAAATATCTCTTTGCTGGGTGTTGTGATGTGCTTGGACCCCGCCTCTGGATGGTGCCCTCTACCTGAGTTTCATCTCCTTCAATTTGTCTGTAGGTTGGCAAGGCCAAAGGCTTCCTCAAGAACTTTCTGATCGAACCCTTCGTCCCCCACAGACAGGTACGTGTGAGGTGGCTCCAAGCTGGCCTTCTTCCTCTGGGAGCTTTGTATTTGTCCACATTAAAATGATGAAAGACAACCAGCTGGTGGAGAAAAGTCACAAGGACTGTGGTCTCTGAAGCCGTACTGAGGATCTGAGGGTACTGCAGAGTAGGGAGTCCACAGATGAAAGAAATGGCTTAGTTTACAACAGGGAGGAATTAGGGCTGATAACAGAGGGGACTTCCCGGTGCTGGCATGAGAAAGACTTGAAGGCAGGCCCCCTCCTCCAGGTCAGGGTACCCTAGCTCCCTCTGGACTAGTAGGGTAGTGGCCCCTTCTCTTCTCCTTGTCCCTGGGGGGAAGATGGTGAGTGGGTCTCCCCTGGGTGGATGTTTTTTTATTAGGTTTTAGAAATGAGACCACAGGGGTTGGGTTCCTCTCCTGGTCTGAGGCGGCAGCCTGTCTTCCCCTCACTGGCTTCATGCTCTCTTTACCTGCAAGGCGGAAGAGTTCTATGTCTGCATCTATGCCACCCGCGAAGGGGACTATGTCCTGTTCCACCACGAAGGGGGCGTGGATGTGGGTGACGTGGATGCCAAAGCCCAGAAGTTGCTTGTTGGTGTGGATGAGAAGCTGAATCCTGAGAACATCAAGAAACACCTGCTGGCCCACGCCCCTGAAGATAAGAAAGAGTTGAGTGAGAGGGGTGGAAGGCGGTGGCAGTGGGAATGGGCACAGAGGGCACAGCGGTCTCCCGTGTAGGGGGAGTCAGGTGTAGGCATAGCCTTTGTCCTGAGGAAGAGAGCTGAGTGCAGAGCAGGGCCTGGCTTGGAATCAGACTGATATATGCCACCAGCGTCCCTCACCTCCTTGCCCCCGTCTGTCTGGGGCCTCCTCCTCTGGCGTCATGCCTGACAGTTCCTTTCCGCCTCGGTGGCTGAAGAGTGATGTCCAGGGAACGAGGTTTGCAGAGGAGAGCGAGGGGCCAGCAGGGCGCGTGTCGGGAAGCGGAGCTGTCGGTGGCAGTGAAAGATTGTTGCGGGCAGCTGGGTTGCCGCTGAGTCCACTTCCCAACAAATGACTGTCCCTCTCTCCCTCCCCATTTAGAATTCTGGCCAGTTTTATCTCCGGCCTCTTCAATTTCTATGAGGACCTGTACTTCACCTACCTTGAGATCAACCCCCTCGGTAACTGTCCCTGCAGGGGTGGGATGGGGCAAGGGTCAGCTACAGCAGGGTTGCAGTGCCTGCGGTAACCCTGGCCTTGGCGTTCAAAGAACCAGACCCTCGATTGCCAGAGGGCAATGTGAGACAGGTGTGCGGGAGCAGAGGCGTCTCCACGCTCATTCAGTGCCAGTTCCTGTTTCTGATCTCGCAGGAGGCTGTAGTTTTTCCTCTTTTAACCAACCCTGACTTCTCTTTGGTCATAACTTGTTTTGAGGTGAGGAAGTCCTGGTGTTGATACTTGTCCTGTTGCTATGTCTGGCACTGGGTTAGGTGCCCTACCAGGAGTTGGGCCACCTCTGTCTGACCCTTCTAGCCCTTCTTTCCTCTGGATGCACTGGGCAGCCCCACCCTCCCTTCCCTCTCCGGGAGTTAGTCAATTATTGACCCCCAGTCCAGGCAAGAGCTTGGTCCAAGCCTCCTAGGCTTCGAAGGAGGCAGGTGGTGTTGGGGGAGAGCAGCAGGGGCTGGCTCTGGCCAAGGCTGTCAGGGCAAGGTCCAGGAAGCTGAGAAATCAAATCAGATTCCAGCTGAAGGTGCAAGCCCGTTAATGGACCAGATGGCCTTGTGCTAACTTAATCAGTTAAATGACCCTGGGAGGAAAGGAAGATGGATGTCCAGTGAGGTGGCAGGAAATGAATCCCGCTGGCTGGGGGCCCAGTGTACCCACCTGCCGCTGGGGCTTCCCCTGGCCTGGCCCGGGAAACCCAGATGGACACACCTAGGGGGTCTTTGACAGCAATGTACACTTTAAACACTTTTGTTAAATGACTGAGCCACAGGTGGGCATACAGTTATGCCCACATAGTTAGTTATTTAAAGCAGGGAGTGTGGCGTTTTACAAAGATGTTTGAAAATTGCCCTGGCAACTAACACAGACCTTCCTGTCCCTTTACCTGTTAGTCAGGGACAGAGAAATGGCCTTCTAGAATTTGTTTTTCCTTTAATGGGGGAAAGTTGTGTCTCGTAAGGGCCATTCTATTTCTTGTCGAGCTTAGGAAGTTATAAGGCCTGCGTGGGACCCCATGGGGGTGGTGTTTGGGGGTTTGGAGGGTGGCAGTCACCTTTGCCTGGAGCCAGTTTCTAATTACTTCTCTTTTCTCAGTTGTGACCAAAGATGGCGTCTATGTCCTTGACTTGGCAGCCAAGGTGGACGCCACTGCTGACTACATCTGCAAAGTGAAGTGGGGTGACATAGAGTTCCCTCCCCCCTTCGGGCGGGAGGCGTATCCTGAGGTAAGGCTGGTTTGGAGAGGAGAGGAAGAGCGATGGGGGCTGGGGGAGAAAGTGACTAATCTCAGACATGCATTTGGCCCCCCTCAGAAGCTGTCCATTTGGCAGGGAAAGGAAGACCGAGAACCATTTAATTTTCTTAAAATCCCAACGGGGTTGGGGGCGGGAGTCAGCCAAGCCTCTGAATCCCAGCCAGAAATCCTTTTAGACTTCTCTCTCAATCAACCTCCCTCTGCTCTTAGCTTGATTTGTTGCTTCTTGATAATTCCAAGTGGCTCCCCCTAATCCTGTCGGAAGGTAGTTCTCTTGGCCACTTGCTGAGAGAATTTTAATTGCTCTTTCCCACCCTGTCCTTGGAGAGGTCCACACAGCAGGATCAGGCCTTCTGCAAAATAGCCCAGGCCAGGGGAAGAGACTGGGCAGGGAGGCGGGTTGGGGCTGGGGAGGGAAAGAGGGGTGTGTGATGGGCAGGGCAGGCAGATACTGGGGGTGGGGGTTGAGCAGGATGATGTGGTGAGGCCCAGGACTTAGGCAGAAGGCTAAGGACTTGACATCAGAGGAGCGAGCTGTGAAGTTTGTCCACAGTTGGTGACTGTGGCTGTGGGTGGTATAGTACATAGAGATACCATCATGTTTTGTCCCAGGCATGTATGGCCCTGCACAGGCCCCATTAAGGTGATCAGTGGCCTCTCCATGTGCCTCCAGGAAAGGGAAAGGGTCCTAGGATTTGGGACCCATTGAGGAGGGTGCCCCCAGGGCCCACCTGTTGCTGTCTGGTCCCTAGGAAGCCTACATTGCAGACCTGGATGCCAAAAGCGGGGCAAGCCTGAAGCTGACCTTGCTGAACCCCAAAGGGAGGATCTGGACCATGGTGGCTGGGGGTGGCGCCTCCGTCGTGTACAGGTGACTGAAGGGGACTGCTGAAGGTCTACCCAATGTCCATGAGTGTGTAGCCTGGGGGTCTCCAGTTTCTCACCTTGGTGTGGGGCAGGAACTCATGGGGGGGACAAACACTGTGGCATTCCAGAGGGCTTCGAGGGACTGCCCTGTACAGTGTCTCCTGCATCCTCGTTTGCTTCAAAATTAAGTTACTTTTATGAGTTTTAGTTCTTACAGCAAAGTGCTATGTGCCCCATTCAAACGTACAGCAAATGCAGACAGTGAACTAGAAAGTGAAAGTTGCCTGGCCACTTCCCCACCCTCTCCCTGACCAGGTCACCCAGCAAGCACATAACTGTTCATCCTCCCAGCTGTTTTAATGATTGTGTAAATGTTTATACTTTTTGTTTTATAGAAATATTACCCTTTGAGGCCGAGTGTGGTGGCTCACACCTGTAATTCTAGCACTCTTGAGAGGCCGAGGTGGGAGGATTGCTTAAGCTCATCAGGAGTTCGAGACCAGCCTGAGCAAGAGCATGACTCCACCTTTATAAAAAATACTAAAATTCGCCAGGCATGGTGTTGGGAGCCTGTAGTCCCAGCTACTGAGGAGGCTCAGGCAGGAGGATCTCCTGAACCCAGGAGTTGGAGGTTAGAGTGAGCTATGCTGACGCCACTGCATTCTACCCAGTGCAACAGAGCGAGACTCTGTTTTTTTTTTTTTTTTTTAAAAGAAACGTTACCCTTTGTGATAATCAGCAATTTTTTCATTTGAAGCACAGTAGACATCTGCTCGTTTCTAGATGTGTGATCTGTCTACGGCCATACCACCTTGAATGTGTCCGATCTTGTCTAGATGTGTGCTCTGCGACATTGTGTGGCTGGCTGGGGCTCCTTCCTCTGGCTGCAGCACAGTTTTCTCTACTGGGCAGGCTGTTGTGCACTGTGGAATTTTTATTTTCTTTTCTCTTTTTTTTTTTTTTTTTTTTGAGACAGAGTTTCACTTTTGTCGCCCAGGTTAGAGTGAGTGCCATGGCATCAGCCTAGCTCACAGCAACCTCAAACTCCTGGGTTCAAGTAATCCTGCTGCCTCAGCCTCCCAAGTAGCTGGGACTACAGGCATGTGCCACCATGCCCAACTAATTTTTTCTATATGTATTAGTTGGCCAATTAATTTCTTTCTATTTATAGTAGAGACGGGGTCTCGCTCTTGCTCAGGCTGGTTTTGAACTCCTGACCTTGAGCGATCCTCCTGCCTCGGCCTCCCAGAGTGCTAGGATTACAGGAGTGAGCCACGGCGCCCGGCCATATGCAATTTTTCTTATCTCATTGTTCATTTTACCTACCACTGTCTGTCCAGGGCCCCGGGGCTGGCAGAGTGCTCTGTCCAGAAGAGTGTGACATAGCACAGTTGAGGGTTGGAGGTCTACAGGCTGATCGCAGTGCTTCGGGGCACCTGCATGTCCACTGTCTGGCCCTAGAGCCAGCACTGACTTCCGTGTCTCCCTTGCAGTGATACCATCTGTGATCTTGGGGGTGTTGATGAGCTGGCGAACTATGGAGAGTACTCGGGTGCCCCCAGTGAGCAGCAAACCTATGATTATGCCAAGACGATCCTCTCCCTTATGACCCGAGAAAAGCACCCAGATGGTGAGATGCCCACGTGCATGAACACACACACCCCTTCTCCCAAAATAGCCCAGCACGCTGCAGTAGAGACAGCTTTGTACTAGGAGTCACTCAGGCTGTGGGTTCTGGTCCTTTGCAACTTGGGGCTAGTCATTTAACTTCTGGACCTCGGTTTCTCTGTGGGCAGTGACCACATCTATCAGATGGGAGTCAGGGTGGGGGTGGTTTCCCAGAGGGCAAGGAGGTCACATGTGGTAATGCTCTATAAACAGGTGTGAGAAGGAGGGCACTGCAACGTGCTCTAGCTCTGATTGCTATGAAAACTCAGTTCTAGTGACCCGCTTATGTGTTACCCAGGCTGTGTGATTCCCAGTATCACCGCTTTACCACTTTTCAGTGCTTTGAAGCTGTACATACCAGTTCCCCGTACCGTGAGCCAAACAGAGAGAGATTCCCACCAGAGCTATCCAGAACCGAGCTGGATTTCTGGGTGCTAAGTAGGAATGCTGAGAGATCCTGCAGGTTTGGATTGACACTGCCCCATGGCTTAGGGAGTAGAGGGTTGAGCTGATGAGGCTGAGTGTCAGGAGATACGTCCTAGCAGTTGGAGGCCCCGCACGCAGAGGAGAGAGCGCTCCCTGAGTTGGATTTCTGGGAAGATGCTCAAGTCCACCTCTCTAACCATTTTTTGACTTTTCTCTTTCCCCAAACCCAGGCAAGATCCTCATTATTGGAGGCAGCATCGCAAACTTCACCAATGTGGCCGCCACGTTCAAGGTAACCAGCGCAGCTATGGTACAGTTTTTGGGGACAGTGGGTTTGGAGAGAGCAGGGAAGGGAGTCTTGCAAGGTTTGAACAGAGGCAGGTTCATGAGTTACCTAGTCTGGGAAGGAGCTCTTGCCTCAGGGTGTCTCGTTGGAGGAGCAGAAGACACTGGGATGGGAGATGTGCATCAGAAGCCGTGTGTCTCTAGGCAGGCAGCCGACACACTGGACCGTAGTTCTCCCATCTGAAGTGTGGGAGGAATGGGAATTTTTGCTTTCCCCCTCCTTTCAGGATCAGTTGGAGAATGGGCTCATTTTCAACACTCCACTGTAAGGCTCTCTGGGTTCTCTGCAACTCCCGGTCTTTCCTCTCTCGGTCAACAACCCCCTTTCTAAAAGATCAGAATGAGGAAGGCGTTTTGATGACCTGGGGCTCCTGCTGACCCAGCCAGGATCCCGTCAGTTGAGGTTCCAGTGCACGGGTCAAGGCCATTTGTGCGTGCTTTAAAGAACGTGGGACTGCTGGCCAACAAAGATGACAGCTAAGATGACTCAAGCTGACATGTCCCTTCTAACGCAGCCACTTCAGGAGACCATTTAGTATTCCACACTGTCAGGTGCTCAGTGAGGCTATTCAGAGCATGCCATGTCTGCTAGTGCCACGTAAGTGTTGAGAGTAATGAATAAATAAGTGTCAGTCTTGAAAGTCTGAGCTCTCAAGTAAGGGACCAGGCCTGAAACATGGTCTCCCTAACTGGACCTGATTCAACAGACAAATCTGAGACTACTGAGCCTTGGTGGCTTTGTCTTCACTCCGAAGCAGCCCCATGGTAGAGGTGGCACCCATGGTCAGGACTGTTAGGTCAGGAGCAGGAACTGAGCATGGAGCTTTGTGTGAAACGCCTGGGGTGACAGAAATCAGTCCTAGCTCAAAAACTAGCCCTCAGTTTGGAGATACAGAACTGGTACACACTTTTCCAGCCTCCTGTTTTTCTACAGTGGGTGTCCATGGTAAGATCTGTCCCCCCAGATCACTTAGAAGCTTTTGTAGGACCTTGACATTGACATTGAAGAAGACTACATCTTGGTACCTCTGAAAACCCTGGTGCAGGGCCCAACACAGATTCCCTGCCATGCTGTAGTAAGAGGTGAGAATGATTGTAGATGGGACAAAAGAGAGACAGCAAAGCCCTGCTGATGAGGCCCTGCGCACCAGTGCATCAAGGAGTGTCTCCTGGTACCCCGTGTTTGTTCCTCAGCAAACTGTCGAGTGACCAACATCCTAGGCTACTTGTACATAGTCCACTTGACACACGTACGGTCCTTGCCTGCCGGGGCGGCGCTTCCTGAGAATCTGCCCTTGTCACATACACCTGTTATGTTTGTTTATTGTGGTTATGATAATCGATTTGTGGCTGCCTTGTTTTTAGTCACATGTCTCTGTTCTCCCTTTGGGCTTCTAGGGCATCGTGAGAGCGATTCGAGATTACCAGGGCCCCCTGAAGGAGCACGAGGTCACGATCTTTGTCCGAAGAGGTGGCCCCAACTATCAGGAGGGCTTGCGGGTGATGGGAGAAGTTGGTAAGGTTGGGGACCTTCCTCTCCTTCACACTCGGGATGTCAGTAGCCTACCCACTTAGGGCTCCTAAAAGCCAGGCGTTGGGCTCTTTCATGCTTTTTGCTCCTCTGTGCAGATACACAGCTCTCTTCTGCTTCCATTCTCTGTCCTCCACACATAGCGCCTGTCCTGAACTACAGAAGGTGCAGGAAAGCAGTGCCCTTAAGCTCTGCACTTAGCTAATATTTACAGACTGCCTGCTCTGTGCTAGGTACTGTGCTCATCACTGGGGTATAGCCACAAACGTGACAGACAGCAAGCCTTCCTGCAGCTTAGGACACGGACAGGAGTGACAGGGAGTGCCGAGTGCTGTGAAGGACAAAGCCGAGACAGGGAGAGCATGTGTGGAGGGGATGGGGCAGCGAGGGAGTCTGTAGGATGAAGAGGGCTGGGTGGTGCAGGGGAGTTTTGTCCCTGCTGAGGACAGGGAAGGCCTTTGTCAGGAGGTGGCACTGAAGTTGAGCTGAGGGACTTGACAGCAGCCAGGTGAAGCTCTGAGGCAAGAGAGCTCCGTGCAGAGGGAGGAGCAGGGCCAGGGCCCTGGGGAACCAGCTCAGGGTGTTCCGTAGCAGAGGCCAGGCCAGGGAGGCTGGGGTATGGGGACCCAGGTGGTGAGGGGTGTGGAGGGTTGGAGGGCCGGGGTCCAGGCCAGGAACAGGAGGTGTACAGACTCTGCCAGTGCTTTTGGTCACTTGAGTCTGCCATTGAAGCTGTTTCTTGCTCTTATCAGCAGGTGGTCTTTAGAAAGATTTGTCTGGTGGTGACATTATGATGGTGCTTTGTCCTGGATAATTGGTCTTGTGCTGAATGTGCTAGACATGGAGAGTCACGTGGACTTGGCTGCTTATTTGAAGACTTGAATGATGGGTTCCTTTTTTCCGTAATAGGGAAGACTACTGGAATCCCCATCCACGTCTTTGGCACGGAGACTCACATGACAGCCATTGTGGGCATGGCCCTCGGCCACCGGCCCATCCCTAATCAGCCACCCACAGCGGCCCACACTGCAAACTTCCTTCTCAACGCTAGCGGGAGCACATCGGTAGGTGCCACCTTCCTCCCACCTTACTGGAGGGAACCTTCTCATCTCTTCCACCCATCCCCAAATCCAGGGGACAGTCCCCCTCCTCTGCCATTGGAGGCCATGGGGATAATACAGGGAGAAGTTAGTACATGATTGGTTTCTGGATCTCTGTGCCAATTTTTTTTCTGCCCCAGTCAAGGTAGTACAATGGAAAGACCAAGGTTTTTCAAATCAGATCCAAGTTCAAATTGTGATTCTCTTACATTTTGCTGCGGGAGGGACCTTGGCAGGTATCTCACCCACTTGGAGGCTCGGTTTGTTCATCTGTAACATGGAACAATATTGACTCCTATCTCAGACGATTATTAGAATAGTACTTTTGGAAGCAGCTTATAAAGAACAATGCTGTACCTAATTTTTTTTTTTTTTTTTTTTGAGACAGAGTCTCACTCTGTTGCCCAGGTTAGAGTGCAGTGGTGTCTTCATAGCTCACTGCAGCCTCACACTGCTGGGCTCAAGTGATCCTCCTGCCTCAGCCTCCCAAGTAGCTGGGACTACCAGTGTGCGCCACCATGCCTGGCCATGCACCTAATTTATATTACCTGATTTCTTTGAGGGCTTTAAGGACTAGTGGCTATTCCCCAGCTGTTACCTGTGACTTCCCTCTCACTCTCTTCCCTTGTCCCACCCTAGACTCCAGCCCCCAGCAGGACAGCGTCTTTTTCTGAGTCCAGGGCTGACGAGGTGGCACCTGCAAAGAAGGCCAAGCCTGCCGTGCCACAAGGTAACTGCCAGGGGTTCCAGCACACTGCAGGGAACGGCCCTTCAGTGCTCTCCCTGTCTCTTTCCTTTCCCCGTCCCACTCGGGCTGGCAGGGGCAGATGAAATGTGCTTTGAGCTTTGCAGTGGGCTCGGGCGTGGGGCGTGGGAGTGGGATGTGAGGATATGACTCGAGCCTTCCCCATGCACCCTCCTGAGGCTGAGGACGCATGCCGTGCCTGGGTCACCTCCCTCCTCACCCTCTTTTCATCTAACCCCGTTCTTGTGGGGGTGTGAGCTGGGCACCGAGGTGCAGAGGAGACAGGACTACAGGAACACCAGGAGGCAGAAAGTTGCTGGAGACTCACTCTCCTCCTGAGTGGAGGGCAGGAGCCAGGAGCTCAGGACGGCAGAGCAAGCTCCGACACAGCAGTTCCCACCCCGCTGTCTCTGGGCTCTTACAAAGTCATTCCCTGCTCTGTGAGGCCACTGTAAGGAAAGCCCTGTCCACCGGCCCAGCCCATCTGTATTTCACCCAGTTCAGCTCTCCATCCTCTGATACATCACGTCCCAGCCGGCCAGGCTTTGCAACCAGCATTAGACAAGCAGTGCTAGCTACCACTGCGCTGAGGCAGCCTGTGCAGCTTTTTCCTGGTACAGACTTTGCTTAAGGCATTTTGGGAAATAGTGACACTCGCTCCAGGGGCTGGAGTTTTGAAGCCCCTGCCCTGTGATTCCCAAACCAGCAGCCTTGCCCAAAGCACAGAATGACTATGCTGTGGGCACAGGTCAGCTCATGCTGCTCTAATCATCTCACTGTCACATGGGGACAGAAAGGGATTGGGCATTAATAGGGTGGGACTGGGCCGGTTAGGGAGCCTAGATAGGAGTACGAGTCCCCAGCTTTACCCCCGGACCAGGGGGAGGCGTCGGTGTTGAGCACACCCACACCTGCGAGTCTTCGTCCTCCTGCCCCTCTCTCTGCCCCCTTCAGCCTTTGGTCTTTCTTGTTTCCGTTCTGCACCTTGGTGCGTTCAGCTCTTCTGTTGACTGTACTCCTCCCGTCCCTTGTGGAATAGTCAAGCGATGGTGAGGGCATTAGCCTTAAAAGGCTTGTCCATGGGACCCTGCCCTGTTCTCAACCTCTCCTTCCAAAGCCTCCAGCCATCAGTGGTCACTCAGTTGCCTTGGTCATTTTCTTTGACAGATTCAGTCCCAAGTCCAAGATCCCTGCAAGGTAGGAAGCCCCCACCCTGCCCCAGCTCTGCCTGTGGCTTTGTTAGTGGGTCACAGTTTTACTGTGTGCTGTGTTTCCCTCTCCCCTGGTGGGTTGCAGTGTTGTCTGGTCTATTTTCTGTCCCTGCCTCAGTGTGGCCTGCCCCAAGTCCTAGTCTTTGCACTTCCTCCCCTGCTTAGTATGCGCCTCCACTCGGTGCCCTCCTCACTGTGTGGCTGTCTGGGGCTCCGAGCCTGGGAGGTGGGTGGATGCTTTGGAAGGGGTGAGAGCCAGGCTGACAGCTCTGGAGAGCAGAGTGGTGTCAGGGAGGGGGTATCGCCTGGGAAGGAGGGAGCCGTCCAACTGAAGAGGGAATGGCAGAAAGCTGTGGTCATTGTTACTGCTGGCATGCAGGAGGGAGCCACAGGTCACCCTGAGTCTGATCCTCACATTTCATCATGTCATTATTATTTTCTCACCTTTCCGGCCCCGGCTTCACCTCTGCCAGCTTCATCCCAGAGCTCCTGATCCTAGGGCCAGGTTTAGGTTTCTCCAGGGTTATGTTGGAAGAACAAGATAGATAGAGGAGGTAGACAGAAAGCCAGACAGGTGTGCAGTCCATCTATAGACCGGGTAATTGGAAGGGATTCAAGCTCTGTCTGGTGTATGAGGTCATATTTTACGATGGACATTGTCCAAGCATGTGTACAAACACACACCTTTGCCTGTGTTGAACTTAGATTAATTAGTTCAAAGCATTAAGGCTTCCATGTAACTTTAGGATTCACAGCTATTGGGGCAGGGACTTTGTCCCCTTGCTCAGGGGAGGGGAAGGAGTACCTGGGTAGATTATTGATAACTAGCTGGAAAGGCTAGCAATGCAGCCTTCTGACCACCTGCCTTTAATCCCTGCATTTCCTGCCTCTGGCAAGATCCATGGTTACCTAAAAAGTCTAAACCAGAGTCTGAGCCCCGTGCCAAAAGAACAGGGGAACTCTGGTTCTCAGAGCTCTTCTGTCCTCGAGGAGGAGGGTGGTGAGGAGCAGTTTTTTTTTTTTTTTTTGAAACAGTCTCACTTTGTTGCCTAGGCTAGAGTGAGTGCCTTGGCGTCAGCCTAGCTCACAGCAACCTCAAACTCCTGTGCTCAAGCGATCCTCCTGCCTCAGCCTCCCAAGTAGCTGGGACTACAGGCATGTGCCACTGTGCCCGGCTAATTTTTTCTATATATTTTTAGTTGGCCAATTAATTTCTTTCTATTTTTAGTAGAGACGGGGTGTCTCACTCTTGCTCAGGCTGGTTTTGAACTCCTGATCTTGAGCAATCCGCCCGCCTCGGCCTCCCAGAGTGCTAGGATTACAGGCGTGAGCCACCGCGCCCGGCCCAGAAGTGGGTTTTATTCTTGTTATTCCCAGTCCCTGAGCTGTGCTGGGAAGTGGGAGAGGAAAAAGGGTGGGGAGGGCTGGGAGCAGATAATGGTGGGGCCGGAGAAGGAGTCTGGTGCAGGAGCTGAGCCCCCAGAGCAGAGGTTCTCTCTGGGGCCCCCTGCTGCTGGGGGTCTAGGGATCACCCCCTTCCGCTTGGGTTCTCTGTGCTTGAGAAGGTGGGCACTTTGGCTCTGCCCTTTCCTGCTGGAGGTTTGGTTTGTAGATTCCAGGCTTTGTCCTGATTCCTGGAGCTTCTCAGGCAGACCGATGCGTGTGTGCACGTGCGTATGTGCACACGCTGGCTCGGGTGTGGGCTCTCCTGAAAATGACAGTGGTGAAGTTGAACTGACTTACAGTCTCCCTGCTCAGTTGCACAATTGAGCTGCATCTCAATCATTGTGCAATCTGGCTCTGGTGCTAGATGCCCTAGGACCTCTGTCATTTGGCATCTCTGGGCTTCAGTTTCCTGGGACAGAAAAGTGGGAGAACTGGATTAGGTGGCTTCCCTTGTTCCGTGATCTGGTGTCTCATCGGAACCCAGATGGGTGCAGGTGACAGTAAATCCCTGGTATTTGCAGCGTCGGGAGCCTCTGTCATGAGAAGCTCACTGCTGCAGTGGCAGAGACAGGCCTGCACAGGGATTTACCAGACTTTCAACTTGATTAGCCAAGCCTGCACTAGTACAGTAGGTTAATCAATACCAGATGCTACTGGGCTAGATGAGATGTTCTCACTGGGGGAACTCAGAACCTGCCCTGAGGGCTGCTTTCCTCCTCCTGGACTTGCAAGGAGCCGAAAGGGAGGGTTACCTGCCTGTGGGGTGGTGAAGGGTCCTTTCCCTTCAGCCTGAGGACTGTACTTTTTTTTTTTTTTTTAAAGAGACTGGGTCGCACTATGTCTAGTCTCGAACTCCTGAGTAACTGTGACTACAGGCACACACCACACTGTGCCTGCTAGAGGACTGCACTTCTACCAGCTCCTTTTGTTCCCTTCTTTTGCCCCTCACCTCTTAACTGCCTGCTGGAAAGCCTCCGAGAACATGTTCTGAGCAATGGGAAAGAGCCACCTGGTGGAAGGGAGGAGCAGGAGAGGGAAGGTTAGGGGCACTGGCTCTGTGCCACCACTCGCTTCTCCTGCCTTGTGCCAGAGCTCTGGTCAGAACCTCAGGTAGAGATAAGGCTACCCTGTCCTCAGCCCCAGCTGCCACAAACCTCTTCGTTGGGCCTACGCTGACCTAGGACTCAGCAATATTCAAGTCCTGACTGGGGCTGGTTTTATGTCCAGATTCACAGAGTGGTAAGCATTGTTGGGATATTGTTTTTAAGTCCTGAAGTCAGCAAAAGGGGGAAAGTAAAACATTTTTTTCCGATGGCTTTGAAAATAATTTATCAAGACCTCATTTGCTTATAAGCTGGTTGCATGCCTTGCCTGTGAAATGAAGCAGGTCCTGCAGGGATTCTCCTCCTGGCCGTCTCCTGCTAGGGGGCCTTTCTCTGTATGGGGAGTCTTTTCTGTCTTCATCACTGAGCTATTGACCAGCCAGGTCCTCTTAGCTCAATTGCTCTCTCTGCTGCCTCCTTCTGGAAAAATTGAGGCACCTTCTCCCCAAGGCCTCAGAATTTTGTCCTCTTGACATTTCTTTGTGGTTTTGGTAAGCCACCATGCTGGACTTGGCAGGTGGAGGGGTCTGGCAGGCAGCTCCTGCCCCCGTGGGTCTCCCTGGAGTATGTATTCTGGGTGCACTCGCTGTGTCTTTGCCCACCAGGAAAGAGCGCCACCCTCTTCAGCCGCCACACCAAGGCCATCGTGTGGGGCATGCAGACCCGGGCAGTGCAAGGCATGCTGGACTTTGACTACGTCTGCTCCCGGGACGAGCCCTCGGTGGCTGCCATGGTCTACCCTTTCACGTGAGTCACGGCACAGCAGGAAGCATCTCCTCCCTCCTCTAAGACAAAGCTTGGGGACTCGGTTAGCTCATCCCTTTTGCTGGAGAAGGCTCTGCCCAGCAAAAGAGATGGAGGCAAGAGATATTCCTGGGGGATCTTTTTCCCTTAGATGGAAATTCTTTGAGGACAGAGACTTGCCTTTTCTATCTTCTAGGTGATGTTCCTCCACTCAGCTTCCTCCCCAGCCCTAACAGACTGAGGCTGTTCTAACCCTTCCTCTGCCTTCTCATAGTGGGGACCACAAGCAGAAGTTTTACTGGGGACACAAGGAGATCCTGATCCCTGTCTTCAAAAATATGGCTGATGCCATGAGGAAGCACCCAGAGGTCGATGTGTTGATCAACTTCGCCTCTCTCCGCTCCGCTTATGACAGTACCATGGAGACCATGAATTATGCTCAGGTAGGTCCCTGGGCTTTCGGGGGTGTAGGGGTGAGGGAGCAGGAGAGGCTTCTGGATGGTGTCAGCAGTCACTGCCACCTGGGACAAAAGGCTGGGCATTTGGAGTAGCCAGTGGTTTGGGTGAAAGTGGTTGCACACACGTCATCTTCAGAAGTCAGGATAGTGACTGAGGACAGGTCAGACCAGACTGGGCAGAGGCTGCTTTCCTGGGCTTACAAAGAGTCAGGTCAGGCTCCGCTGCCCACCAGCTCTGCTCTCTGCTATTCAGCACTGACTTGAGAAACAGGATTGAAAACTTTTTATTTATTTATTTTATTTTTAAAATATAGATAGGGTCTCTCTCTTGCTCAGGCTTGGTCTCAAACTCCTGAGCTGAAGCAATCCTCCCACCTCAGCTTCCCAGAGTGCTAGGATTACAGGCGTGAGCCACCGCGCCCGGCCCAAAGCATTTTCTTATAAAAGTATTAACACATTTATTATAGAAAAACTTCAAAAATACTGATAAATATTTCTTTTGAAGAAAATAAATACTTCGAGTCCCATTTCCCAGAAATCTGGCTGCTGTCATTTCAGTATATCCTTATCCACACCTTTTTCTAGATTTGAACAAGTGGGATAATACTGTGTGGAACAATTATATATTCTGCTTTCTTCAGTTACTCTTTTCATATCAATAAATAGGTATTAGCAACGTTGTGTTTGCTTTTTCAGATCTTATGATGAGCATCTTGAACTAACATTTGCAAATATCCTTAATTACTCCCCTAACATAAATTTCTATGAGTTGAACTACTGCATGAGAATGTGCAGGTTCAAAAGGCTTTGATCCATCCAGACCCAGTAAGGTACTGACATAAACTCCCATTGGTAGTTTGTGCCTTGTGTCTCAATCCCCTTGTCAACATTAAATGTTTGCCGAATTAATAGGCATTCCAGGCCAGGCATAGTGGCTCATGCCTGTAATCCTAGCACTCTGGGAGGCCGAGGTGGGCGGATCACTCAAGGTCAGGAGTTCGAAACCAGCCTGAGCAAGTATCCAACCAGCAGCCTTGCCCCAAGCACAGAATGACTTGCTGTGCACAGGTCAGCTCATGCTGCTCTAATCATCTCACTGTCACATGGGGACAGAAAGGGATTGGGCATTAATAGGGTGGACTGGGCCGGTTAGGGAGCCTAGATAGGGTACGAGTCCCCAGCTTTACCCCGGACCAGGGGAGCGCGTCGTGTGTGAGCACACCCACACCTGCGAGTCTTCGTCCTCCTGGCCCTCTCTCTGCCCCCCCAGCCTTTGTCTTCTTGTTTCCGTTCTGCACTTGGTGCGTTCAGCTCTTCTGTTGACTGTACTCCTCCCGCCCTTGTGGAATAGTCAAGTGATGGTGAGGGCATTAGCCTTAAAAGGCTTGTCCATGGACCCTGCCCTGTTCTCAACCTCTCCTTCCAAAGCCTCCGCATCAGTGGTCACTCAGTTGCCTTGGTCATTTTCTTTGAGCTTCAGTCCCAAGTCCAAGATCCCTGCCAGGTAGGAAGGCCCCCACCCTGCCCCAGCTCTGCCTGTGGCTTTGTTAGTGGGGTCACAGTTTTACGTGTGGCTGTGTTTCCCTCTCCCCTGGTGGGTTGCCGTGTTGTCTGGTCTATTTTCTGTCCCTGCCTCAGTGTGGCCTGCCCCAAGTCCTAGTCTTTGCACTTCCTCCCCTGCTTAGTATGCGCCTCCACTCGGTGGCCTCCTTACTGTGTGGCTGTCTGGGCTCCGAGCTGGGAGGTGGGGGATGCTTTGGAAGGGGTGGAGAGCCAGGCTGACAGCTCTGGGAGCGAGTGGGTGTCAGGAGGGGGTATCGGCCTGGAAGGGGAGGCCGTCCAACTGAAGGAGGGAATGGGCAGAAGCTGTGGTCATTGTTACTGCTGGCATTCAGGAGGGAGCCACAGGTCACCCTGAGTCTGATCCTCACATTCATCATGTCATTATTATTTTTCTCACCTTTCCGGCCCGGCCTCACCTCTGCCAGTCATCCGAGAGCTCCTGATACTAGGGCCAGGTTTAGGTTTCTCAGCAGTTAGGTTGGGAAGAACAGGATAGATAGAGGAGGTAGACAGCCAGACAGGTGTGCCGTCCATCTATAACCGGGTAATTGGAAGGGATTCAAGCTCGTGGTGTGTAGAGGTCATATTTTACGATGGACATTGTCCAAGCATGTGTACAACACACACATTTGCCTGTGTTGAACTTAGATTATTAGGTCAAAGCATTAAGGCTTCCATGTAACTTTAGGATTCACAGCTATTGGGGCAGGGACTTTCCCCTTTCAGGGAGGGGAGGATACCTGGGTAGATTATTGCATAACTAGCTGGAAAGGCTAGCAATGCAGCCTTCTGACCACCTGCCTTTAATCCCTGCATTTCCTGCCTCTGGCAGATCCAGGTTACCTAAAAATCTAAACCAGAGTCTGAGCCCGTGCCAAAAGAACAGGGGAACTCTTGGTTCCGAGCTCTTCTGTCCTCGAGGAGGAGGTGGTGAGGAGCAGTTTTTTTTTTTTTTTGAAACAGTTCACTTTGTTGCCCGGCTAGGTGAGTGGCCTTGGCGTCACTCACAGCAACCTCAAACTCCTGCGCTCAAGCGATCTTCCTGCCTCAGCCTCCCAAGTAGCTGGACTACAGGCATGTGCCACTGTGCCCGGCTAATTTTTTTCTATAATTTTTAGTTGGCAATTAATTTCTTTCTATTTTTAGTAGAGACGGGTGTCTCACTCTTGCTCAGGCTGGTTTTGAACTCCTGATCTTGAGCAATCCGCCCGCCTCGGCCTCCCAGAGTGCTAGGATTACAGGGCGTGGAGCCACCGCGGCCCGGCCCAGAGTGGGTTTTATTCTTGTTATTCCCAGTCCCTGAGCTGTGCTGGGAAGTGGGAAGGAAAAAGGGTGGGAGGGCTGGGAGCGATAATGGTGGGGCCGGAGAAGGAGTCTGGGGCAGGAGCTGAGCCCCAGACAGAGGTTCTCTCTGGGCCCCTGCTGCTGGGGTCTAGGGTCACCCCTTCCGCTTGGGTTCTCTGTGCTTGAGAAGGGGGCACTTTGGCTTGCCTTTCCTGCTGGAGGTTTGGTTGTAGATTCCAGGCTTTGTCCTGATTCCTGGAGCTTCTCAGGCAGCCGATGCGTGTGTGCACGTGCGTATGTGCACACGCTGGCTCGGGTGTGGGCTCTCCTGAAAATGACAGTGGTGAAGTTGAACTGACTTACCAGTCTCCCTGCTCAGTTGCACAATTGCTGCATCTCAATCATTGTGCAATCTGGCTCTGGTGCTAGATGCCTAGGACTCTGTCATTTGGCATCTCTGGGCTTCAGTTTCCTGGGACAGAAAAGTGGGAGAACTGGATTAGGTGGCTTCCCTTGTTCTGTGATCTGGTGTCTCATCGGAACCCAGATGGTGCAGGTGACAGTAAATCCCTGGTATTTGCAGCGTCGGGAGCCTCTGTCATGAGAAGCTCACTGCTGCAGTGGCAGAGGCAGGCCTGCACAGGGATTTACCAGACTTTCAACTTGATTAGCCAAGCCTGCACTAGTACATAGGTAATCAATACCAGATGCTACTGGGCTAGATGGATGTCTCACTTGGAACTCAGAACCTGCCCTGAGGGCTGCTTTCCTCCTCCTGGACTTGCAAGGAAGAGGAGGGTTACCTGCCTGTGGGTGGTGAAGGTCCTTTCCCTTCAGCCTGAGACTGTACTTTTTTTTTTTTTTTTTTTTTTAAAGAGACTGGGTCCACTATGTCTAGTCTCGAACTCCTGAGTAACTGTGACTACAGGCACCACCACACTGTGCCTGCTAGAGGACTGCACTTCTACCAGCTCCTTTTGTTCCCTTCTTTGCCCCTCACCTCTTAACTGGCCTGCTGGAAAGCCTCCGAGAACATGTTCTGAGCAATGGGAAAGAGCCACCTGGTGGAGGGAAGGGGCAGGAGGAGAGGGAAGGCTAGGGCACTGGCTCTGTGCCACCACTCGCTTCTCCTGCCTTGTGCCAGAGCTCTGGTCAGACTCAGGTAGAGATAAGGCTACCCTGTCCTCAGCCCAGCTGCCACAACCTCTTCGTTGGGCTACGCTGACCTAGGACTCAGCAATATTCAAGTCCTGACTGGGGCTGGTTTTATGTCCAGATTCACAGGGTGGTAAGCATTGTTGGGATATTGTTTTAAGTCCTGAAGTCAGCAAAAGGGGGAAAGTATAAAACATTTTTTGCGATGGCTTTGAAAATAATTTATCAAGACTCATTTGCTTATAAGCTGGTGCATGCCTTGCCTGTGAAATGAGCAGGTCCTGCAGGATTCTCTCCTGGCCGTCTCCTGCTGGGGGCCTTTCTCTGTATGGGGAGTCTTTTCTGTCTTCATCACTGAGCTATTGACCAGCCAGGTCCTCTTAGCTCAATTGCTCTCTCTGCTGCCTCCTTCTGGAAAAATTGAGGCACCTTCTCCCCAAGGCCTCAGAATTTTGTCCTGACATTTCTTTGTGGTTTTGGTAGCCACCATGCTGGACTTGGCAGGTGGAGGGGTCTGGCAGGCAGCTCCTGCCCCCGTGGGTCTCCCTGGAGTATGTATTCTGGGTGCACTCGCTGTGTCTTTGCCCACCAGGAAAGAGCGCCACCCTCTTCACCGCCACACCAAGCCATCGGTGTGGGCATGCAGACCCGGGCAGTGCAAGGCATGCTGGACTTTGACTACGTCTGCTCCCGGGACGAGCCTCGGTGGCTGCCATGGTCTACCCTTTCACGTGGTCACGCCAAGCAGGAAGCATCTCCTCCCTCCTCTAAGACAAAGCTTGGGGACTCGGTTAGCTCATCCCTTTTGCTGGAGAAGGCTCTGCCCAGCAAAAGGAGTGGAGGCAGAGAGATATTCCTGGGGATCTTTTTCCCTTAGATGGAAATTCTTTGAGGACAGAGACTTGCCTTTTCTATCTTCTAGGTGATGTTCCTCCACTCAGCTTCCCCTCCCCAGCCCTAACAGACTGAGGGCTGTTCTAACCTTCTCTGCCTTCTCATAGTGGGGACCACAAGCAGAAGTTTTATCGGGGACACAAGGAGATCCTGATCCCTGTCTTCAAAAATATGGCTGATGCCATGAGGAAGCACCCAGAGTCGATGTGTTTGATCAACTTCGCTCTCTCCGCTCCGCTTATGACAGTACATGGAGACCATGAATTATGCTCAGGTAGGTCCCTGGGCTTTCGGGGGTGTAGGGGTGAGGAGCAGGAGAGGCTTCTGGATGTGTCAGCAGTCACTGCCACCTGGGACAAAAGGCTGGGCATTTGGAGTAGCCGTGGTTTGGTAAAGTGGTTGCACACACGTCATCTTCAGGAGTCAGGATAGTGACTCGAGGACAGGTCAGACCAGACTGGGCAGAGGCTGCTTTCCTGGGCTTACAAAGAGTCAGGTCAGGCTCCGCTGCCCACCAGCTCTGCTCTCTGCTATTCAGCACTGACTTGAGAAACAGGATTGAAACTTTTTATTTATTTATTTTATTTTTAAATATAGATAGGGTCTCTCTCTTGCTCAGCGGCTTGGTCTCAACTCCTGGCTGAAGACATCCTCCACCTCGGCTTCCAGAGTGCTAGGATTACAGGCGTGAGCCACCGCGCCGCCAAAGCATTTTCTTAAAGTATTAACACATTATTATAGAAAAACTTCAAATACTGATAAATATTTCTTTTGAAGAATAAATACTTCGAGTCCCATTTCCCAGAATCTGGCTGCTGTCATTTCAGTATATCCTTATCCACCTTTTTCTAGATTTGAACAAGGGGGATAATACTGTGTGGAACAATTATATATTCTGCTTTCTTCAGTTACTTTTCATATCAATAAATAGGTATTAGCAACGTTGTGTTTGCTTTTTCATGCTTATGATGAGCATCTTGAACTAACATTTGCAATATCCTTAATTACTCCCCTAACATAAATTTCTATGAGTTGAACTACTGCATGGGAATGTGCAGGTTCAAAAGGCTTTGATCCATCCAGACCCAGTAAGTACGACATAAACTCCCATTGGTAGTTTGTGCCTTGTGTCTCAATCCCCTTGTCAACATTAAATGTTTGCCGATTAATAGGCATTCCAGGCCAGGCATAGTGGCTCATGCCTGTAATCCTAGCACTCTGGGAGGCGAGGGTGCGGTCACTCAAGGTCAGGAGTTCGAAACCAGCCTGAGCAAAAACAAGACCCGTCTCTATATAAATGAAAGAAATTAATTGCAAATAAATTATAGAAAATAGCCGGACATGGTGGCGCATGCCTGTAGTCCAGCTACTCAGGAGGCTGAGGCAGAAGGATTGCTTGAGCCCAGGAGTTTTGAGGTGGTGAGCTAGGCTGACGCCATGGGCACTCTAGCTTGGGCAACAGAGTGAGAATCGTGCTCAAAAAAAAACAACCCCCCCCATTCCATTTAATTTGCATATCTTTTGGTTATTTACTAAGATGACTTTAGAAAACATGGCCCATTTGTATTCGTTATGCTTTCCCTCCCCGTTTTTTCTACTGGGGTGTTTGTCTTTTTGTTGTTGTTGTTATTGACTTGTAAAAGCCACTTATAAATTAGGATATTGATTATTTTGTTCAAAATTACCTTCTGAACCCAGGTTGGCTCATTTCAGTTTCTGGTTGGAGAATATAAAATTGTTCTGCTATCTAGAGGAAGTGAAAAGGGAAGCACATCTGCTAAAAATGACCTTCTTTAGAGCAGAGGTTGGCAGACTACAGGCCAAAGCAAAACCTAGCCCACCCTCTGTTTCTATAAAGTTTTTTTTTTTTTTTTTTTTTTTGGAGACAGAGTCTCACTTTGTTGTCCAGGCTAGAGTGAGTGCCGTGGCGTCAGCCTAGCTCACAGCAACCTCAAACTCCTGGGTCAAGCGATCCTCCTGCCTCAGCCTCCCGAGTGCTGGGACTACAGGCATGCGCCACCATGCCGGCTAATTTTTTTTAGTATATATATCAGTTGGCTATAATTTCTTTCTATTATAGTAGAGACGGGGTCTCGCTCTTGCTCAGGCTGGTTGAACTCCTGACTTGAGCATCCGCTCCGCCTCGGGCCCCCAGAGCTAGTGATTTAGCGTGAGCCAGCGCGCCGGC